AGATTCCTTCCTTCTTTGTTTCTTTAGGCGATGAATCAAGAGAGACACAAGAACTAGCCGGCGTCGATGACGTATTTCAACATATACATATGCCAGTCTTATGGCACGCGCGATTCCGTGACGCGAGTTTGCCGGTTTACTCCTGTCCCAAAAAGTGCCTGACGGCCTATAGAAGTTATCACTTCGAGACATGTAAGGGGTGTAACTTGAATAATTGAAGTTGGGGTGGCTTTTTAGAGGTACTTTCACAGACGTTGAATCTGACACAATGGCTTCACAAAGTAATTTGGGTTTGACAAATGCGTAATTTTTAAATTTCTTTCCAAGCAGCATAACTGATATATTGGCTGTATAAAAATATCTCGGACACCTGGTCTACAGAACGAACAATATTGGGCAATACAAAATTCTTCAAAAGTTTGTCTCGTTCATTATTCATGCAATGAGTATATAGATCAATACGAAGAGGAGGAAAACTGAAGCGGGAAGTAGCACCGCCACTGCTAAGCAAACTGGGCAAACCACCAGCTATGCTGAGGCAGTCAGCTCAATAAAAATAGCAGTCCTCCCAAAAAACTACCCGGAGGAGACGCTGAGTGCTGAGCAGCTTACAGCACTGGAGGACGCAATCGTGCAGGAGATGATGCTGGGCGCGGAATGCAAACTCCAATTCGGGGGAATTCACTTCCGCCCCAGTATGCTCGTGGTAGACTGCGTCAACCAAGAAACGGCGGACTGGATGAGGGCAAAGGCCCCCAGTTTGAGCACCTGGGAAGGTTCAGCGCTGATGGTGTGCCTGGGAGACGACATCCCAAGGGCGCACACCATCACGGTGTTCTTTCCCAGGAGCACGGACATCGAACCAGAGAAGTTGCTCACCCTAGTGAGCACACAGAATAGGGGGCTCCGAACCCAGCTGTGGAAAACACTAGGAAGCAAGAAGGAGGACAACAGCCAGCTCCTTAATCTTGGAATAGACGACGAGTCCTGCGAGGCCATCAGGAATATGGGTTACACCATATTCTACAGGTTCGGGAAAATCCCCGTTCATGGCCTTCGCAAGGACTCGACTGAGAAGAAAAAGGTAGAAGAGGGGAGCAAGACATCATCAGCTCCCACTGCCACAGAAACTACTGTGGCCAGCGAAGCCGAATCGACTGGGAGTATGGACCAGGATACCACGGTCATTCCCAGCGAAGAAGAGCTAATGCTGCTGGATGATGTGGAGGCAAGCACTCCAACACACTAGCAGCAATGGCTAATACAGCATCAGTCAGGTTTGCCCAGGTGAATACTCACCACGCTAAGGGGGCATCAGCCGCCTTATCGAGGGTGTTCACCGGGGCACACTTGGGAGTTGTGTTGATCCAAGAACCTTGGGTCAACAGAGGGCAGATTAAAGGACTGCCGAATAAAGAAGGTAAGGTTATCTGGGATGTCAGGCATGACAACCCTAGAGCTTGCATACTGATCAGGAATGACATTAATTATGTTTGTCTTTCAGAATTTATGACGAGGGACTTAGTGCCTGTACGGGCCAAGATCCACACAGGACACTCACACCTCGACATAGTAATAGCTTCAGGTTACTTCGCTGGAGATGGGCAAGCACCACCAGAAGAGGTACAGAGGCTATCCGACTACTGCAGCAGGAGCAAACTACCCCTCCTGCTGGGCTGCGATGCCAATGCCCATAACACCATCTGGGGAAGTACGGACACCAATCAAAGAGATGAGCAATTGCTAGAATTTATACTTGCGGCTTACTTAAGTATACTGAATGTGGGGTCTACCCCCACCTTTGTAACTAGGGCTAGACAAGAAGTATTAGATATAACGCTCGGCAGCCCGAGCATTAGTAGAAGGGTTAGACATTGGAAGGTCTCAGACGAACCCTCCCTCTCTGACCACAGAATCATAATGTTCAGTGTAGAAGGGCTTGTGACAGAAACAACCTTCATTAGAAATCCTAGAAACACAGACTGGGAAAAATACACCACCAATCTCAAATGTAATTTAGAACAAATCAAGTTCAATGGCAAAAGTCACGTCGAATTTGAGCAGACATCAGAAGCAGTTAATGGGGCAATCATGGATGCATATGAATCCAGCTGCCCCATTAGAGAAAAGAAATCACACAGTGGTACCATTTGGTGGAACGAACACCTGTCAAATCTAAGATCCGAGGTCCGCCGGCTATTCAACAAGGCCAAGCGGGACGGAGATTGGCAGGGTTACACCGAAAGGCTGACGATTTACAACAAAGAAATAAGGAAAGCTAAGAGAAATAGCTTCAGGAACTTTTGTGAGACAATCACTTCAAGTCCACCTGCAGCCAGACTGTACAAGGCCATGGCGCGGGGCAGGGAGCAAGGACCAATGTCTCTCAGAAGATCAGATGGTAGCTATACAGAAGATGAAGAGCAACGAGCTCTCCTTTTACTGGAGACGCACTTTCCAGGTAGTTCACCATATGATCCCGAAAGAACACTGGAAAAACCAGGCAGAGTAAAACGAGAAGACTGGGATGTTGCAAAAACCATTTGCACTCCGGCAAGGTTGAAGTGGGCAATCGACTCTTTCCAACCATTCAAGTCTCCTGGAATCGACGGTATATTTCCAGCCCTTTTACAAAAAGGGCATAAGGAACTACAGCCGTTCATTATCAAGGCAGCCAAACTCAGTCTGGCGTCCGGGTACATACCGAGCAGCTGGACGAGAGCGCGTGTGACTTTCATCCCCAAAGTAGGGAAGAAGGACCCTACCCTTCCGAAGTCATTCAGACCGATCTGTCTCACATCCTTCTTACTGAAGACACTGGAGAAGATCGTAGATAACTACATCAGATGTGAGATACTGGAGAGGGTGCCCTTGCACCTAGGACAGCATGCATATAGGGCGGGCAGATCAACCGAGACCGCCCTTTTCGTACTCACTGAAAACATCCAGAGATCACTTGAGCATAAAGAAATCGCCATATGCGCATTTCTAGACATAGAGGGGGCATTTGACAACACCTCTCATGAAGCAATAAAGAGAGCTCTAATGAACAAGGGCGTGGACAGAACCACATCCAGATGGATGTGCCAAATGCTGACCACAAGAACAGCTGAAACGAAAGTGGGTGAGAGCAGCTTTCAAATCAGTACGAACAGGGGCTGTCCACAAGGAGGGGTACTGTCACCCTTAATGTGGAGTCTAGTGGTAGACGAACTACTCGGGATTCTTACTGAGAACGGAGTAACTTGCTTTGGATATGCGGACGACATAGTCATCATGGCCAAAGGCAAATTTGAAGGCACCCTCTGCGACCTCATAGAGAGAGAGCTAGAGACTACCAGAAGATGGTGCCATTCGGTGGGGTTGAGAATTAACTCAACGAAAACCACATTGGTACCTTTTACTAGAAGAACGAAGGTTCAGCACTTAAGAGTCATCCGTCTAAACGGAGAAGACCTAGAATGGCAGCAAGAAGTGAAGTATCTAGGGCTCATCCTAGACTCAAAGCTTCTCTGGAATAGACACGTAGAAAAGATCGCCAGTAAGGCAAAATCATCACTGATGGTGTGCAGGAACCTTGCAGGCAAAACATGGGGATGTAACCCATCAATACTGCGATGGATGTACACCATGCTAGTGAGACCAATGATCACCTACGGAGCAGTAGTGTGGCACGGCAGAACCGAACTCGCCACTACAAGGAAAATATTAGAGAAGGTGCAAAGACTGGCATGTCTTTGCATAACAGGAGCAATGAGATCAGCTCCAACAGCAGCACTAGAGGTCATTTTGGATCTCACACCTCTACTTATCGTGGTGAGGAGAACTGCCTATGGAGCACATCTCAGGTTAGCCAAGGTCGGACTAACAGGGAAAACGCACAGTGTATGGGGCTCACCCCCCACTGAGATCGCACACCTCGCCGATCTTCCAACAGACCAAATCATTAGGAAGTTCAGTTTTGAGAAGAACTTCCGAGTGGAGCTGAGCAACAAGCGCGAATGGAGCACAGAATCCATCGAATCACTGGGAAGGAATACCATTACTTGGTATACGGACGGGTCTAAAACACCCGAGAGAACTGGAGCAGGAGTCTTTGGGCCTCGCACCAAATACTTCGAATCCATGGGACAATTCCCCAGCATTTTTCAAGCGGAAATACACGCCATAGGAAGATGCATCCAGTTCAACCTAGACAGGAAATACCGGAAGAAGGACATCGCGATTTTATCCGATAGCCAAGCAGCCATCAAAGCGTTGAGCTCTCCTTACATCAACTCGAAGATGGTATGGGAATGCCTAAGCAAATTGAATGAGCTAGGCAGCAACAATAAAGTTACCCTCCTCTGGGTGCCAGGGCATATCGGAGTGGAGGGGAATGAACACGCAGACGCTCTGGCACGACAAGGGGCTTCAACGCCACTGATCGGACCAGATCCATTCTGCGGCCTTGGAAATTCCTATTTCCAAGGAGAACTTGAGAAGGCGGAAGGAGCCTGGAGAGCCAGGCAATGGAGAAGACTTCCAGGACTACGGCAGGCTAAAGATCTCCTTGGAAATTTCAACCGAGAAAGATCTAAGACACTGACAAACCTCAGCAAAGGAAGTCTCAAAGCAATAACGGGATTTCTAACGGGGCATTGCAGACTCAAAGAACACCTAAGGAAGCTAGGCTTACAGGAGAACGGCACCTGCAGATTCTGTGAGGAAGAACCAGAAACACCCCATCACATACTGATGGAGTGTGACGCTGTACATCACAAAAAATTGAACATACTGGGAACACACCAGCTGACTGTGGAAGAAATACCACAGCTAGACCCCCTCAAAATCCTCAAATTCCTGAAGGAATTGAATCTCGAGGGGCTGCTATGAACAAGAAATCCTTGATATAGCAGGAGCAGATGGGGCACAATAGATCTAATTGGGTCGCAGCGCATCTGTCACCATCCAACCTACCAATACCAATACCAATAGATCAAGTAATTTAGGATTCCTACCTCTTCTGACCTCCACTAAAACAGCAATATTCATGTTGGAATTGTATCCATGGATGATGATTTTCGTTGGGTTGGAACTGTTGTAAGCTGTATCCTTCAAATTGGACACTAGTGGATCCGAACCGATTCTCACAAATTGAGGATTTTCTGGATTGTATTTTGTGTAGAGAAAGAAGTTCACATCGGGATCTGGACATAATCTGAAACATACATCGTGTTTTATTAAAACTGTTGGCGGAAGTTTCATTCACATTCCGTATCAGGAGTCAGCAAATTCCGATTTGTCCATATGTATTTTCTTCATATTGTTGTACTACGCACTGTTTTACCACTAATCAAACCGTTTCTTCACGTTTCGACACGTTTAACTGAAACTATATTAGCATCTTCAGGAGAAGATTAAAAACTAAATGTTCTATCCTAGTGTGCTACTTATATGGTAGAGTTCTCATGTTGACCCTGGTCATATATCAATGAACTATTCAAAGGGCTAATTGGGATAGGTCCTATATCCTCATTCATTACCCTATTACTATTCTTGAACGTCTCTAATCTTTCATATGCATCTAATTTCCTAACATTTTCAACTAATTTGAGGTTATTAATATGTGTGGTATGATTGTGATTGAACATGTGTTCAGCTACACACGATTTATTCAACCTACCAAATTTTTTTTGTGGGTTAATACCTGACTTATATACATGGTGTTGCGAAATTCGACCGACAACGCTTGACAGGTGATAGCCCTCGTGATTTCATAATCACTGAGATAGGAACATACGGTCTTCAAGTGTTCAGTTCTCGAGATACAGGGCGTTGAAGTTAAGAAATGAAAATAGTTGTTTCGCAATGTCTCAAGAGAAATTGAATGTAATGCATTCAACTTCGGTATATGGTTTTATCTTTGAATGGGTCATTTTTTGACCAGGAAGCCATTCCGGACATTTTATCCAGTGGTGCCCAACGTGGGGGCGTGGCAACTTCTCCTCCCATATTTTCTACGCTCTGATTGAATTTCAATAATTTCCAATACTTTGAATTCATTGTTCAATTTTGTTAAAAAATGCATCACCTTCAACTGAGCAGAAATAAACAGTTTTCGAGATATTCGACCCAAAATAGGAGATTGCATAGTAATATTTCATCATTTCAGTAGTAGAAAATTGCAAAAATATTTTTCTGATGTTGAGTAGATTAGATACTATTCAGATCTCATTTTAGAGCTGGACAGAAATAGTTATTCCACACATAAAGAGAGAACAACAATTTTTGCAATCTTCTACTACTGAAGAAAATTACTATGAAAACTTCTGTTTTGGGTCAAATATCTCGATAACTGTTCATTTTAGCTCAGTTGAAGGTGATGCATTTTTTCAACATAATTGAACAATCAATTCGAGAAATTGAAGATAATCGAAATTTCACAAGTGGCGTAGAAAATATGGGAGGAGAAGTTATCACAACCATCTGTACTGCACCTCTGGATGAAATTCTCGGAATGTTTTTCTAGTCAAATAATTTCCATTCAAAGATGAAACCATATACCGAATTTCAATGCATTATATTCAATTTTTCTTGAGATATCGCGAAAATACTATTTCAATTTCCTAACTTCAACGCCCTGTATCTCGAGAACTGAACACTTGAAGACCGTATGTCCCTATCTCAGTGATTATGAAATCACGGGGGCTATCACCTGTCAAGCGTGGTCGACCGGCGTGAAAACAACGGCCAAAACATAACAGCCAATTTTCCGAAGATTGCCGAACGGCCAGTGGCGTCGTCTTTTTTTAAATTAACGTTTTCTCTTCACGATCTGCGATCCCACTGTTAGATATTTAACTGTTCATGTCCCATATTCTCGTAGTCCATCCGTAGAGGGAAGGGGGGAGGGGGCAGGAAGAAATAATATATAAAATAAAGTCTGAAAGTGGGGACGCCATGATTTCTACACCCTGAAATTATTATGGTAGATCTCTCAAAATATGAAGGAAAGAGCTGTACATGTCCCATCAACTCGCAAGCCGACTGAAGGGGGCAGCAAGAAATAATATACCTAATGTAAAATAAATTATAAAGGTTAGGACGCAGTGATTCCTACACCCTGAAATTGTCATAAGGGGTCTTAAGAAATTTAACGAATACAACTGTTCAGGTACCGTCAACTCGCAAGCCGTCTGAAGGGGGCAGCGAGAGATAAAAATATGAAGTAAATTCTGGAACTGGGGACGCAATGATTTCTACACCCTGAAAATATATTGGTGGGTCTTCCATATCATTTAAAAAATAACAGTTCATATCCCATCAACTCGCAAGCCGTCCGAAGGGGGCTACGATAAATAATAATATAAAATAAATTCAAAAAGTGGGGACGCAATGATTTCTACACCCTGAAATTATCATGGTGTGTCTTTAAAAATATTTAGAAAATAACTGTTCCCATCCCATCAACTCGCAAGCCGTCCGAAGGGGGCAACGGTAAATAATAATATAAAATAAATTCAAAAAGTGGGGACGCAATGATTTCTACACCCTGAAATTATCATGGTGTGTCTTCCAAAATATTTAGAAGCTAACTGTCTACATCCCATCAACTCGCAAGCCGTCCGAAGGAGGCAACGATAAATAATAATATAAAATAAATTCAAAAAGTGGGGACGCAATGATTCCTACACCCTGAAATTATCATGGTGTGTCTTCCAAAATATTTAGAAGCTAACTGTCCATATCCCATCAACTCGCAAGCCGTCCGAAAGGGGCTACGATAAATAATAATATAAAATAAATTCTAAAAGTGGGGACGCAATCATTTCTACACCCTGAAATTATCATGGTGTGTCTTTCCAAATATTTAGAAGCTAACTGTCCATATCCCATCAACTCGCAAGCCGTCCGAAGGGGGCAACGATAAATAATAATATAAAATAAATTCTAAAAGTGGGGACGCAATGATTTCTACACCCTGAAATTATCATGGTGTGTCTTTCAAAATATTTAGAAAATAACTGTTCAGATCCCATCAACTCGCAAACCGTCTGAAGGGGGCTACGAGAGATAATAAAATAAAATAAATTCTAAAAGTAGGGACGTAATCGTTTCTACACCCTGAAATTATCATGGTGGGTCTTCCATATCATTTAAAAAATAACAGTTCATATCCCATCAACTCGCAAGCCGTCCGAAGAGGGCTACGATAAATAATAATATAAAATAAATTCGAAAAGTGGGGACGCAATGATTTCTACACCCTGAAATTATCATGGTGTGTCTTTCAAAATATTTAGAAAATAACTGTTCCCATCCCATCAACTCGCAAGCCGTCCGAAGGGGGCAACGGTAAATAATAATATAAAATAAATTCAAAAAGTGGGGACGCAATGATTTCTACACCCTGAAATTATCATGGTGTGTCTTCCAAAATATTTAGAAGCTAACTGTCTACATCCCATCAACTCGCAAGCCGTCCGAAGGAGGCAACGATAAATAATAATATAAAATAAATTCAAAAAGTGGGGACGCAATGATTCCTACACCCTGAAATCATCATGGTGTGTCTTCCAAAATATTTAGAAGCTAACTGTCCATATCCCATCAACTCGCAAGCCGTCCGAAGGGGGCTACGATGAATAATAATATAAAATAAATTCTAAAAGTGGGGACGCAATCATTTCTACACCCTGAAATTATCATGGTGTGTCTTTCAAAATATTTAGAAAATAACTGTTTCCATCCCATCAACTCGCAAGCCGTCCGAAGGGGGCAACGATAAATAATAATATAAAATAAATTCAAAAAGTGGGGACGCAATGATTTCTACACCCTGAAATCATCATGGTGTGTCTTTCAAAATATTTAGAAAATAACTGTTTCCATCCCATCAACTCGCAAGCCGTCCGAAGAGGGCTACGATAAATAATAATAAATAATAAATTCAAAAAGTGGGGACGCAATGATTTCTACACCCTGAAATTATCATGGTGTGTCTTCCAAAATATTTAGAAGCTAACTGTCCATATCCTATCAACTCGCAAGCCGTCCGAAGGGGGCTACGATAAATAATAATATAAAATAAATTCTAAAAGTGGGGACGCAATCATTTCTACACCCTTAGTCCTTGTGCCAGACCCCTTAAATCGACCAAGTCATTATAATTTGGGGGGACTGAATGAAACTCATACCACGTATTGCTGGGGTCATTGGTAGCAAAAAAGTCGGGGGGGGCCATCATGATGAGGTAGCTTTCAAATATGGCGGCCGTTCAAAATGGCGGACAAATGTAAACATGTGAATTGAATTATCTCAGGACTGAGTAGATCAATCTTGTATTTCTTCTTGTCAAAATGTAGCATATTTTGTTGGCTATATTATTGATCCCATGATCTATAGCCAGAAAATTAGTATTTATGTGTCGATACTCGAAAAATAAAAAAAATAGGTTTCTGAAACTTACGCTTTACGGTTTATTGGAGTAATGGTTGGGTATATCGAAAAAATGTACGAGATAAAAGTTGTAGAGGAGTACCTTACCCTCAAAATAAAGCAAGAATATCGAAGATCGGATCAATAGAACCCGAGATATCTAGATTGAAAGCGAGCGGGGCGAAGTTGAGCGCGTGTTTCGAGCGCTCGGTATCGCCTAGCGGGAGGCAAGTCTTCGCGTAAAATCGGGTGGAATCCTGCGCTGTATTCATCTTCATAGTAAGTAATCGCTTCATTACGGGTTAACTTCACTTGACCTACTAATGTGCACTATTTGTAACATGAATATCATTATCAAAACGAAGGTGATAGTCATTATTTTTATTGAATTTTACAATATAATGACGAAAAATAGGATATTATTTATCGAAGAATCGAATAAAAATTGGAAATTTTATTTTATCACAGCCTTATAATATCGTGAAATTAAATTCTGAAAAAACAATAATTTATTCATTCATCTATCTTTCATATTCCTCACACATTTTTATGATCTAGAGGGATGTTTCCAGAGTTTTATTCTGGGAATTGTGTTATTGTTAAATTACGCGGAACTTATAGGCGATGTTATTGGTGCCAGACAAGTCTTGACACGTTTGACCAACTATTTAGTGAAATATTGTTCAGTCTGTTTCAGGTGTTCGACTGATAAGACGCGTTTTCATTACCATGTAAAACCTCAAAAACGAATAATTTTTTTGTGGAAAGGAGGTGTGAAAA